ACAACTAAAATATTAACATTTTAAACTCAATTATTTCAGTATATGCCTTTATAAAAATATTTATGTAAGAGACATTTCCCGTATGTTGGTTTGTTTGTTGGTCTTTTGCGGACAGCACTATCCGTGAAAACCTGTGCGCCGTCCGCTTCGGCCGATAAATCAGTCGCACTTTTTTTCCGCCGCCGTCTCCTCCCGCTTGCACAAAATCTTTCTCGTGACTATACATTATTTATTTTTGCCGTGACCTGTCATCTGGGCCACTTTTACTGTTTCCTGCCTCGAAGGTGTTCGCCGGGCGGCGGGGAGGGCGAGAGGGGAGAGAGAGAGTGGAGAGCGCGCCAAGGTTACGTCCGGGAACTTCCCTCCCTCCGCCTGCAGCCCTCTCTCGCTCCCCTGCGTCGCCGTGCGCTGCCAAGTTCCGGCGGTACAAGTCGCGGAGCAGGCTACGTGGGCCCTGCCTCTGCCCTGCCTCTGCCCCGCCCCGCCCTGCCGCGCCCCAACTTTTCCCCGGGTGGCCCCCGGTACAGCGGTGATACAGTATTTTTTCGGCGCCCTCAGGGTCAGATCAGCTGGGGAACACCTCGCTCTGCAGCACCCCGGCCGCCCCGCCCCGCCGCGGCCGCACTTTTCCTCCCCTCACACAACTTGTCTCAGCGGTGCGTCGCGGATCAGCCGCGGTACGGCGGGCAGGCTCCTGGATGCGGCCTCGGCGAGACTGTTGTAGGAACACACATCACGATATACATTTTTAGGTTCCCCACGTTCGTTTTTTGCACAGCTCCTGGCTGAAGAATGAATCCCTACTCCGTGTGCGCGCGGGGGGCACGCGCCTGTGGAGTCCGGCGGTAGGCCGCCCGGCGGTCGGCGGAGCGCGGCCTACTTCAGGGTTGTCTACCCGACAGGCGCTCCAGCCGCTCTGCGCCCCTGCAGGGGCCGGCGGTAGGCCACCCGACGGTCGGCGGCGCGCGGTGTACCCGAGGGTTGCCTACCCGACAGGCGCTCTGCGCGCCGGACGACCAGGCGCTGCGGGCGGGCAGGGTCGCTTCCTTGGCAGGGTAGCTCCACCTCTTTACCGAGCATCACGTGCCCACCGTTTAATTCCGACGGCCCCCTGCTGCTGCCGCCCCCGCCGCTGGCCCCCAGTCACGTACCTTGTTGGGGGTGGAAGAAAAATGGGCAAGGTAACCCCGGGGCGGTCTATTGGGCGTTAATTCAGGGGATGATCCTGGGGCAGGGGGGGTGCCTGTTCACTTCCAGGCATTTGCCTCTTCCTGTTCGGCTTGCTCTCGTCGGGCACGTGCGCGAACACGAGGCACCGCGCCGCCCTCTGCGTAGGCGGCGAGGGCGCTGGGCCGGGAGCGCCTCTGTCTGTCCTTCACACACACACGCCGAGGGCCGGCACTTCTCTCTACCCCCCTCTCTTTCTGCAGCTCTCTTCCTCCCTATCCTTTCCTCTCTCTCCCCCTCTTCTTCATGATTACATCCCCCACTGGCGCCTGGCGCCTGGCCTGGCGCGGCCATCACTTCCACCTGTCCAACACGGGCAGGCCTGCCTGCGAATACCATAGGCCCACGCCCAACCCTCTCCCTCTCCCCATTCCCTCTCTCTCTCTCTCTGTCCTACCATCCCCTCCCACTCTCCTCCTCCTCTCTCTCGTATCCGTCCGGTCCACAGACACGGCGCCAGATGCCCGCCCTCTTCCCTCTGATATTATCCGTCGATCGGAGGCGTTATTTCGGAACTCGTTTGCCGTACCTGGTTCTGCTGCGTCC